AGCATTAAACATGTTGTCTTTTGAAATTTAAACTATTTTAGAAATGCTTAATTTCTCAAATCAAACTCTTATAAAATAGGGTCGTGTGGTTGGTCGTAACGTCGTCATCGCTAAAAACATTTTGTAAACCATGGTTTTTAAATCCTGATGAATACTTATAGAGTCGAAAAGAGTTTCTACCATGTTATATATTCATACATTACACTCACTAGAACGTTGATAAATAAAATTCTGTAATACTTAATACTTATTTAATATTTTTGAATACATTCTTCGAATGCGCATAGCTAACTGATTCAATTCAGGTGCTTCAGAATCTTTAATCTTAATTCCAAAATTATTCGTCCATGAATCAATAATTCTGCACAGGCACAACCTATGTACATTAATCGGAACTTGTGTTTAAATTTACACAAGCCTCATTATCCCTCCAAACTTGAGCCATTAGCATGACTTCAACTTTATTATTGCAAGCCTTCGCTTAGCACGGGCCACTCACGTAAAAAATATACGTAATTTGCTCGAACAAAAACTTCGTGCAAAACTCAAGACTTGTACGACGCGTTATAAGCAAGGGTTGCTTTGTTGTAAAAGTGTAGGTTGTTTTTAAACATTTCGCTGTACGACTCATGATATTTCTGGCCCCGACCTGTTAAAGGTAAACCGCTAATATTGCACATTCCTTTAATGTTGAAGATATAACATTCGTGTTACAATACTGTATCAAACATCTAATTTGCTCTATGTAATGCTTTTTAGAATAATATTCGTATCAAAATACTATATCAGACATCTAATGTGCTCAAATGAGAGCTTTAATTTTATTTTTCGGGCACTATGACATCCCACAATTATCAATATTAATGATAATTACTCCGTTAACTGATGTCTCTATACGGACTAAAGCAAAAGTACGCAAATGGCTTATTTAATTGAAACGTGGGCAGACAAATTTAATTACATCTTCAAGCGAAAATTCAAGTCCGAGCACTAATATTTCCATTTCGGGGAATATTAACGTCACCCCATCACTCTTTCCCTCGGCACGAACAGTATCGTCAACCTAACAACCTTTCACTTGAAATGAATTCTAAAATTCGCTTTTCCATGTCTTTTCTTAAATCAATCTTCCGGCAAATCAATTCCCCGACAACTGCTACCAACATCAACACGCCCTAGTTCCCCAGTGCAGCGCCGTAATGTGCTGTGCAATCCTAAGCAGCTTGTCGCAACGTTTTAAATTCGCGCCCAGATTGAGCGTAGCAAGTTTTTGCGCGCACCAACTTAGCAGGTCGATGACGAGTCAATGTGAGACTAACGATCCTCGTGAAGAAAACATGCAGCCTTCCGGCGTCTTTATAATCATGCTGGTTGTGAGACGCGCGTTCAGATTTGTTGAAGACTGTGAGAACATTTGTAGTCTTCTGTGATTGAGATTTTTATTGTTTTAACATTTAATATATAGATTTATTCTTTTACAGTTCTGTTAGGTGTATTGGAGTTGAGTAATGTTGTTTGCTCATGTAGTATATTCTTATTGATTATTAAAGAACAAAAATAAAATCATCTACGCAAAGGATGCATATTTAGGTTAGGAAATGCCATGAGTGTCATCCATAGAAAAAACCCTCGCGTTGTAAATCCTTCACCCTGAAGCCCGGCCTCGATTACCATTTTACTGTATTAATTTGAATGCATAGATTACTACTGAGCTCGTTAACCTCTGCCAAATAACACGAATACACCATTGAACTTTTGATGACCGTTAACTTACGACGTTCGTTGAAAATAATTTCGTAGCATCTGGGTCATGTGAAATCGATGAGATAAATAGGTGCAAAAATGAACTACTACAAACTTGAGGAGGAACGTTGATTATTCATCAATGGACTTGATGGAAGTTACTTCAACTTCACAAACAAATCTGAATCAGAGCCGCGATATATAACAATCAGCTTTCATTGAAGTTTAGCGATTAAGATTGTCTAAGAGAAGCATATTAGTAAGTCAGAATAGCGGAGTTGATGGCGTGGCATACGTACATACGTCAATGAAAAAAGTCGATGCCAAGGCGCCAATTAACAAGATTTGATAAGGAAGATGGACGTTGAGAAACTTTAAATCTTCCTAAAATTTATCTTACTAATTGGATCGAAGATTTATGAACAATTTTCAAATAAGAAACACAAATATTTGTTAAATGAATCTCTTTCTAAATAATTCGAAAAAGCAGCAGTAACTATTGAATTTTACTTATAAATTCTTCGGCGTTTAGTGTTAAGGAAGTTTATTTAATTTATTTTCTCTATCCTCGTCACTCTAAATTTTTTATTGCTGTTTTATATTTTTTTTCTTAATTTTCTTGTTCATGACACTATTTTTTCACCATCAAACATTCTCCTGCCGTATTGAAGACAGGAAGCTGGTCTAGTGTAACAACAATGGTACGTATCATAACGTATAACGTATCATAACTTGAATGGATTTAGAACTTGACTTAAAAATTGACTAGACTTAAATTGGCTCACCGGTTCGTTTCATCCAAGATTCATAGAGTGAATGAAACACACTTCAACCAAATCAAACCGTTCAGAGGGCAAAAAGTTTGTCGGTCCAAACCAACAATCTTACGAATATTCTACGTAATCTCACGTTGTTGGTTAGGTTAGTGAGGTTAGGTTAGTGAGGTTACATTAGGTTAGGTTAGTGATGTTAGGTTAGTGATGTTAGGTTAGTGAGGTTAGGTTAGTTAGGTTACATTAGGTTAGGTTAGTGGGGTTAGGTTACTGAGGTTAGGTTAGCGATGTTAGGTTAGTGAGGTTAGGTTTGTGATGCTAAGTTAGTGAGGTTAGATAAGGACAGGTTCGGTTAGGCGAGGTCAGGTTAGGTGACGCTAGGTGAGGTTAAGTGACGTTTGGGTGTTAGATTAGGTTAGGTTAGGTTAGGCCTGGTTAGGTTACGTTTGGTCAGATTAGGCGAGATAAGGTTACTTTAGGTGAGGCTGTTCCAGGTTTGGTCAATGATCCTATTCCGCATTCTAAGCCACAAATCTCAACACTTATTCTAGCATAAATGCCCAGCGCCAGCCGTCAAGCACAGGAAGGATGCCCACTTTTTCGCACGTTCTAATTGATGACGGAAACGCAGACCTGAGCTTGACACCTCTGACACGTAGAGCGCTCACGTAGGCACGTGTGTGATCGCGTGCCGCACGTGCCACTCACTTCGGTGCACGTGGCCAAATTACTATTACTATTTCCCATGCAACTCTTCCTACTATCACTTCTATTATTTCTTCTATCATCACTTCTATCGCGGTTCTGAATGTCACTTATGCAAGTGAGGTACCTACAACTGTTACAAATAATGGTCACAAATTTTACCTACTATCGCAATGAAGAATACTACTGTTATTTATAACTACTAAAATTTCTGTAAATCCTGCTGTTTGTAAAATATATTTATTTTCATGCAAATTTTCTTATACTTCTGGTGCCGATTCTGCTCATTAAATTTATACGAGAGAAACGCTCAAGTGATTATTAACGAACTCTTCAATTCTGAATTGAATCCTTATAATTATATAATATATAATATTCTTGAAAAATAATATAATCCGATCGCAATATTCACTCATATAAAGAAATTTTAATAGGTATGACTTTAACTGAAATGAAGAATTTCACTCGATTTGTCTAATGCATAAACATTATAATTTTAATCTTCAGATCGATTTGATTTATTTGAAAAATGTTGCAGCTTTACATTCAGTGGTATTGAACTTATTGTATCTGTGCATATGAGCGTGCAGACGTGGTCTTATGACCTGCCATGGATACTCTGATATTCATAAGTTTATACAGTCTAATTGCTCTTCGGTCAACATCGCGTGGTGGAACTGCGTCGGGCTATGAACGCGTTACATTCTACTTCATGCATAAAATCTAGATTGAATTTACATCTGAGGTTGTGGAAATCAATGCATTCAAGTTTTGTTCTGTGAAAGAATTTTGTATTGCATTGAACATTATTAATATATCAACGCGTCTTTTGTTAGCCTACAGTTTCTTACCGGATGAAATTCCTTCCATGAATTATCTATAAATTATATACACGGAAATACACGAAAAATTGAGTAGAAAAATTCCTAAACTTCAAGTACATCCAATGTACTTAATAATGCGTTTCGTCTTCATTTGCAGTTTAAAGCTTCTGAAGGTTAAATCCAACCTGAATCTCCGAAACAATTTTAGAATTTTTTCAAAAAACGAGTTTTAGTCTTCATTATATTACCCCTTCAAAGACATGGTCTGTACCGGAGCGCGTTTTCACACCCAGTATCAAGTCGATTAGAAATTATTCGATACAAACCAAGTGTCAGAAACGATTCCCACCCTAGCATAGGTAAGATTCTTGTTTGCTCCAGGGAGTTCTATGTCATGCAAGTCTCTGCATGGCGGGTGGGAACGGTGTCTCAGGGGAACGCCGGCGCCTCGAACGCTCTTTGCTCAGCCAAATAACTGCTAATCGCTGCCCGACGACACACGTATCAGGCGAGCCACAAAAAAGATTCGGTGTAATCTTAAAGCTTAGTCGTAACCTCGAATCGATCAAGATCAATCAAAAGAGCCTCGCATGATAAGGTTAAATTGCCGTATACATGCAATGCGCGGCAATTCAAACTCGTTGCTATACGATTACTTTTCCATAACAAGCATCGTTTTCTTTTGGATCGTAGAGCACTGAACGGCATTTTAGAGAAAAATATTTTCTGCGTATCATTGGTGTTTCCAAGCATAATAATCATGACATTATGTAACAGGGCGAAAACCGCACAACACATCTTATATACAACTAATAAACAAGACAATGAAATACTTTAATAAGTTGTGGTTGAGCCGTTCAAGTTATATGAAATATTCAGGGTCTTAATTCATTCCTATTTGTAATGAAAACAAACCTGGATGATACAAGTAAGGTGATAAAATATGGATACTCACCACAAAACGGACCAAAGGGATTGACCATCCTGAAGGCCGAGCTCCACAAAGCAGACGATGCCGGCACTGGGGACAATGACTTCTGTTCCGACGTCCTGACTGGGGTTGGCGTGGTTTTAGCCATCGGAGGTAGTCCAAGAGCATTGGGAGACTGTGGTGGAATTTTCGTTGCTCCAAGTAAAGAAGAAGACGAAGACCCAGAATCCTGAGGAGTCAGTCCACGATGTTGCGCGTACGCTTGCAGGTCAGAGATGCTGCAAAGTTGGAGTGAGGGCTTGGCAGTGTAACTGTTGATGCTAGTTGTTATCTTGTTGATTGCCGTCGAAAGATTCAAATCGTTGTTACTCATGGGACTGCTCTTCATGTGTGCCAATGATGAAATTGAGGGAACTGGAGGAAAAGCCAGTGATCTATCCGCTGGAAAAAATGGCTCCTTTTTAATCAGAGTATTGTGTGACGTCGTTGGATGGCGTCCGCGAATGCCTGAGTGGGGTGAGGGGAAGAACTTCATTGCATTGCAACCCAATCTGTCATCGGGAGAAGAGCCCTTGAGATTCAAAGGAGATTTCGGTGATTTAGGAGTCTTGGGGCTTTTCGCCCGTTTTGGTATAGTGAGATTCATGAGATCGCTAGGAACGGCGCTTTTGTGAGAAGGTACCGAAAAAGTGACCGGTTTGCCACACGGGTTTGAAGCAGGCTGATCAGAAGAGCTGCCCGGGCTTCTGATATTTGGAATCCTGACACATAAAGACGGAGATAAGCTGCTGGTGCTGACAGTTGGCGGAAGTAGAGGTACTAAAGAAGGCGGCGACGTAGGAGGACTTTGCAGAGGTGTATGAGGTGATGTGGGTGAAATGGAAGATGAAGCTGGGGAGGAAGAGCTTGATGTGTAAACTGGAGAAAGTGATGTGGTGGAAGAAGGGGAGATGTGTGGAGAGCACCTCACAGCTCCTGAGGATGAGGTGCTTGCCCTGCTGCAGTCGGGAATTTCTGTAAAGATCAAAATTACATTATTAATAAAAAATTAGAGAGATTTCCAGGCAAGAAAATGTGTTCAAATAAATTCACACAAACAATGATCTGAGACAAATGAAACTGGTGCAACATTCTCCCTATCACATCAAGATTCTTCTGCAGCTCCATCAGCACTAATGCCACAAGCTCAATAAATTTCACAAATGTCGCTGCTTTCCTCAGGCTCAGAGACCTATGACAAAGACGTCAGTAGGTGAAGTACCACTTAGTCTTTCACGTCGTCCATAAATCCCTGGTTCCTTTGTTTTGGCAAATCCCAATAGCTTTGTCCAAGGCTACTTCTACTCACCAACTTGCACCCCCGCAAACAAATCGTAAATCATTGTTGTCGACACACGAACGTAAGCCGAGCCAGTGCGACATGCATGGCCGCGACACATGAATCGCGCTCAGGTCAACTGATCCAACGATCGCGGGAATCATAGTCAATGTTACTGACTGACTGAGTGATAAGCCATTCCAGAACTCAATTAAAATCATGAAAATTTTGTGAGAAGCAGTTTTGAACTTTTATGAACTCTTCATAGATCAATTACGTGTATTCGGACGTGTAAGATGTAATTACGTGTAATGAACTCTTACGACCAATCATAAGACAAAGTGACATATGTGATTCCGAAGTGATATCAGAAGTTAAAATGATCAATAAACGTCCGGCTTTCTATTGAAAAACAGTTAGCAGCCGACGCATTTTAATGATCCCGGACGTAAGCATACCTCATGGTATTCACTTCTTCAAAAATTAGATTTAAACTATAATAAGGTTGCTGAATTGCTAACAAATCCAAACCTGAATAAATTGCAACAACGATTCCTCAAAATATGATGATAGTTTTTCGATGATAAAATCCAATAAGTATTTTTTCGGTAATAAGTCTTTCCCCAGCGAGGGTCGGGGCGGCACCCCCATGCCGCTGTACAGTCGAACGGCAACCCTCAGCCAGCTGCAGGAGCTTCCCTCTGATCTGCCCTTAAATATGCATGCCGTAAACAAGAGGCCGCGCGCGTCTCCAATTATTCGCCTTGGTGCTCTGCTCCGTGTTCTGGTTCTATTGCTCCATGTACTAGTACTGCTGCTCCATATCTTAGTTCTGTTGTTCCGACTCCTGGTTCTGTTGCTCCACGTACTAGTACTGCTGCTCCATATCTTAGTTCTGTTGTTCCGACTCCTGGTTCTGTTGCTCCACGTACTAGTACTGCTGCTCCATATCTTAGTTTTGCTGCTCCGACTCCTGGTTTTGTTGCTCCACGTACTAGTACTGCTGCTCCATATCTTAGTTCTGTTGTTCCGACGTACTAGTACTGCTGCTCCATATCTTAGTTTTGCTGCTCCGACTCCTGGTTTTGTTGCTCCACGTACTAGTACTGCTGCTCCATATCTTAGTTCTGTTGTTCCGACTCCTGGTTCTGTTGCTCCACGTACTAGTACTGCTACTCCATATCTTAGTTTTGCTGCTCCGACTCCTGGTTTTGTTGCTCCACGTACTAGTACTGCTGCTCCAAGTCATGCACAGCATATATGCATGACTTTTGACAGCTGGAAGGTCTTTATAACGTCTTACATTGATGACTAGTACATTAATAGAGCTTTTCAGTGTCTCATTTTGGTGTCCGGTGCCTTGACACTGATATTCTAATTATTTTTAGCGCATTTTCTCATTTATGGCAAAAATCTACTATTGGGTTCGCCATCTTCGTCCGTCCGTCTCTCCGTCTGTCCGTCTGTCTATTTGTCCGTCCGTGACTTCACGTTTTCGTCGACGAGAAAATGCGCTCTCTGGCACTCACTGCCGTGAGTACTGAGTTATATTTTTTAACGCTGCTCCTGTCCGGCTGAGGCTGCTCCATGTCTTACAATCTAGCTTACAATCTTACAATTTATCGCTGTCTAAAGTTTCATAAAAGTTTTATTTGTTTATGAAAGCTATGCATTATTTTTATTAAAATTATATGTTTTAATATGTAATATATGATGCATAACAAATATTATATAATATATAAAGCTACACCATGTAATACTGCTGTTGCATCATCCATTCACCCCTGTATCAAGTAGCAGTGCTGTGATTCCATGTTTTACATGGTTTCTTCATTTGAAATATTGTTGCTGTACTTCCGTGTACTGCTTATACTCTTATCACATTGTAATGTATCGTTAATAACATAATACTGCCGCTGGTAGCTGGTAGCATTTCGTAATGCTGGTAGCTTCTAATATAATACTGCTACTCATGCCACATCCTAATGCTGTTAGCTTCTTATCTAATACTGCTATCTTGCGTCAACCTAAAATCGTTTAAATTATTCACATTCGAAGAAAAGAATTTAATAATAACATGGGTAAACCAGTAATGGGTAAACCTTTGCTATTTCAAGCCACTTCCCAGTGAGTATCAGCTGTTTGAATATTAGGAATAACGAATTATCTAACTATGAAGAAGGAAGAACAAACTCGAGTGGCTGAGGTAGGATCAACCCCGGCAGCTCGTTTGATGTTGGAGATAAGGAAGTCGCCTGAGTGACGCTACTTCGTCTGCTGATAACCTTATTAAACATGTGCATCAAATAGCGCTGGCTTGATAACCTTATTAAACATGTGCCATATAGCGCTGGCTTGATAACCTTATTAAACAAACATGTGCATCAAATAGCGCTGGCTTGATAACCTTATTAAACATGTGCATCATATAGCGCTGGCTTGATAACCTTATTAAACATGTGCATCAAACGGCGCTGGCTTGATAACCTTATTAAACATGTGCCATATAGCGCTGGTTTGATAACCTTATTTAACATGTGCATCAAATAGCAGTGTTTCGATAATCTTACTGTATTTAACATGAGCACGGAACATGGAGGCCTGTATGAATACTCTACAGTATTCCTATATATACTACCTAATGAAACCTAGTCACCCTACTGTATTCCTACTACGAAATGAATCCTGGACTTTCTATTGTATTTACACGTTAAGAAATTAGTTCTGAGATAAGAAATTCACAAGAAGCATTCGTAATATTTATTCGTATTTTGTCCAGAAGTCCAGTGCTTGAATGAATCCAAAGCATTGAAGAGTAACAGTAAACATCGGATTGATTGGGATATATTTTTACTTTTTTTTCGTTAGTTAATAATCTGCTTGTGAACTCTGAATTGTGGATCATATATTAGAAGCAATTTTTCCGTCACGTTAGCGGCCCCAACTGCAGAAATGTTGTAGTTTCCTACTTGCTTAGATTTATTAACACATCTAAATATCTACTTACAACATCAGTGCTCGGCAATCTCTTGATAATTAGTATCATCCTATAGTGATGGATAGCTAGCAAGATCATCCTAGTGATGACTAACTTGCTGGAAATGTATTTTGTCTAATCTTTTTGGTCGATAGGTTTAATCATTTGCTACTTGAAATAAGTTTATAATAACTTCAAATTATGTGTTCGATCTTTCAATTGTGCGAACAAGATGAAGCTCACTTCAAAATCGTGCTTTCATAAATGTTATAGAATCCTTATGAGGTCACAGATTGCATATATTTAAAATTTAGGTTTGCCCAAATCAGTTCCGAAAATTGATGTTCAGTATCTGTGGCGTTATTGTTAAAAAGGTATTCCAGTAACTGCAAAAATGACACAAACGCGAATTTAATTTGAGTCATGTGTACAATAAATATTCATCACGACTCACCCTTGTTTGAAGGCATGTTCTCCTTAAACATGATTCCAGCTTCTCTCTGCAGATGCTCTCAAGTTTTAGAGGTTCCGGGTTCGGCCACGCGGTAGTGAACAGTTCACAGTATCTATGAGATTCTAAAAACAATCTCTCTCTTTCAGCTTGTTTATAATTTTAAAAAAGTTTGTTCATAACCATAGAAAAACAGCTTGTTCATATACAAAAAATTCCAACAGTGTTTTTAATTGTTGTGAAAGTCGGTGAGATTCATTCCACTGTTACGCGAGAAGCAGCGTCGTTCCAACTCAATTTGGACGAAAATTTTTCAATGCACATGACAGTTATGAATAATTTCTGACAGTTATGAATAATTTTCCTACGGTTGCTTTTAAACAAACGCGAGTCTGCAGAAGAAAACGAGGGGACTGCAGGAAGCGGACGGAAGAATAATTTGAAAATATTTATCTCTCTTGAAGGCTTCCATCATACAACATTCACCGTTAGATGTCATCTTCGACGCAATTGTTGCGTCAGTTTATCTCATTTAAATTTGGGGCGAGATAAGAAAAAAACGTATCCGTTTTATTTACTTTACAAGAGGCAAAAGGATTGTACGTTGTTGATGATTTATATTCTCCGAGATGACCTGGATTTTCAGTTACAGTAGTATACTAAATTTTCCTACAGCTTAGGAATTACTTTTTGGTATGTAGGATTTATAACATTAACAGTCTGGGATTTTGCTTCTTGTGTTGAATCTAACGTGACCCAACGTTCCAGGAAACCATGAAACCGGCCAACTGGCTTAAATTTGTTCTTCCTAAATCAAGTTCACTTTGTACGGATTTCTCTTCGGGAATTTGGACTCAGGAGTGAGGCGCCGAATCCGTAGTGTCACAACTGGCGCGTGAAGCCAACTGATGGAGCAGCCTTTGACTTGAGGTGCATATATCTTGACCACGTGCTCCTGCTCCTTGATAATCAGCACAAGCGTGCCCATTGGATGTAAGAGTCAGGCAAGGCGATCACTTCATTGGTCCGCGCGCCAGGTGAGGCAGGTAAGTTGACCTGCCTTGCTGGCCCGATCCCGCCCCTTATAACCATGAAAAACATGAACAAAAAAGAGTGAAGTGGAGGTGAGTGAAGCGAAATCATCCAACGGGGGTGAGTGGATCCATGGTGCGGATATGGCCGTGATCTTTCAACCGCAGTTTGTTCATGCTTGTAAATCCATGGACAAATCCAGGCTGTCGTTTGCTGGCTTGTAGCCATGGATGAAAACCATGGCACGAACGATTAATTTATTGTTAAAATACAGGAAATAAAAATATTATAAAATAATTGTTAATAATTGTTTCATTATCTTGTTTTCAAATCCTTGCTATGGTAATTATGCTTGAGCTGTTCTTCCGTCACAATTATAACAATTTTGGTAAAATATAACTTGGATAACCATTTACCTCACGAATTGGTGTAACAATTAATAAATAAATCAGTCAATACATTTGATCAATTATCGGTAATGTAATTAAATGTAATGTAGTTAAAGTCGAACGGAAGTAACAAAACTAATTTGTCATTATTATAAGTTATATCACAAAACTCATGGGGAGTTATGAAAATTTTCAAAGTGAAGTGCGAGTCCTCAAAGCAAATAGTGCACGTTACCAATAAGTCACCAGTACAAATTAAAACAAATTTCACATGGAAGGCTTTCGTCACAATAGATTTTCGATCGAGCTTGGCTTTGTTAATATGTAAATGTTGATTCGTCAAATTATTATTTTAAAATTGCGACAATTCAATATAATTTTATCTGAAAAAACGTTTAAGTGAATAACCACACTAACCGTCATTTTCACATAATGTGTGCTCATAAATCCTTAAAACCTGAGGCGCCACCGCCTTTTGCTAACACTATTTCTGGCTTACCCCTTTTTCCTTTTGCTTTTGGTTATAATCACTGCTTCATTTTGTTCTTCTTACACTTGTTTTACTTGCGGTATCTTAATGAATTTTATAACAAGATTGCGGATCGATGAAGACTGGTTTTATTTTAAATTTTAAATGATGGTCAATAAACGCCGGTATTGACCAGAGTGAACTTAGCGTATTAGCTTCATCAAGTTAACCAATCCTCGGCTCGAAATTTATTTAAAAGACTTCAATTCCATAACTGAGACGATATTTTCATATAAACAGTTTTTTTCAACATTTAGTCTAATTATTACTCGCGTACATACTTTGGCCTCATGTAAGGTAAACAATATGTATTCTTTTCAATTTAGGCCTCATAGCTTTGTGATAATTAGTTAAAAATAATCTTTCCTTCGCATACATGGATGCACTTCATGAGAACATATGTTTTTATTTGATGATTAATAGAATGAATTCTGTTATTTGAAATAATGTAAGAAAATTATAGTATCAATTCAGCATATATACCAATAAGAAAGTCCGAAGAATGCATAAAAATGTTTATAAGTATCAGCCGCTGGTCATTAAAATGTTCACCTGCAAAAGTAAATCATTCTAGGGACTTATCAGAATGATTAATTATCAATGTTCTATTATTATTTTATGCGATTATCGTGATTATTTCCAGATAATTCACCTTTGCACAATGCGAGGTCAAAAATTTGTACTTCTAGACCTAAGTTTTTTATGAATATCCTGCCGACATTCATAATCTCATAAAATAACAGAAATATTGCAATAATTATTTCTCTGGCATTGCAAAATCTATCACCCAAATATTTTTTTTTTGAATTTATGCTTTATCGAATACTATTAAAAAACTAAATTAAAATAAATTAAAAAATTGCATAAGTTCGATCGTTTCGTAGGAGTAACTCTGATCCATATTTTTCAAGTTAGCACAGGATTTCGCGAGCCATGATCACTCGATATTTCACGATCGCTCTACACGGATAAAAGATCAGCAGCTGCGCTTCGTGATCATTGGTTGGTTTTTGCGTGGTTGTTATGTGCGGTGAACGACCAAGTGCGAAGCTGCATTGCGATTGGTCGAGGATTGGCCGCACGTGGCGGACAGGATGCGGACTTGGATCATCTTTACGCGGACCAGGAAATTGGAAGCTTCCCTTGAAAGCGGACTGCGGGGCGGCTTTGTCTCGTGGTCCGACTTGTCGGCCTGAAGGTGGACGAAATATCTTTCTTGTTACGCTTCTTCAGGTTACTGGAAATTTGAGAAAATAGACCGTGTTGATTACAGGAGGTTAGCAGAGAAGAGCTTAAATTTAATGTTAAGTTTCATAGGAGTTAATTAAGGTTTTTTGTGGTAGTCAGGGCGAAAACTTTGTAATTTTTTAGGAATTTTCTCATCATTCCTTGTTCAAGCATGGAGATAATTTATATTCTCGATAATTGATTACATCCTAATGATTATTTGACTGCTATTGAACTGTTTTGCACTCACCCTGCGACTTTAAACACATTGATACAAAAAATTCCAATGAACAACAAATATAGGAATTGTTGATGTTCCCAATCTTGGTTCGCTAATCTCTATAATAACCTTATTATATACTGCATGAATAGTATTATATTCGTCACACTGGACCGTGCTACGTACAACGGCTGTCACTTGAGCAAACGTCATCGATTCTCCGGGAGCTAAATGCTTAAGAAAATTATCTCAATTAATTATTCAGATTGTAAACGTGGCCGGAAAGCCGTGCCAGTACCTGAATGCCTCGCATGAACACTGCAGTAACCTTGATTATCTATTATTCATAATACATTGAAATGGAACCACAGTATATTCCTGCCGCACGCCATCTCCTGAACATGACTTTTTGATGCCCAATATGCACGGTGCTGACGAGATTCACGCTTCGCTGATTGATAGAAGGTTCACGAAATTTTATCACGAGGGGAACAACTTTGTTTTAGAAATTCCTTGCATTCAAAATTGCAATAAATGAATGTCGCATTATAGCCGCATTATGGAACAAGAAAGGGATGAGATGAGGACGAATTGAATGTCTCTTAATGGCATTCTGTAAATTACGTTATTAGGTAACATCATACACTTTGCTACCTACTACATTCGGTATAACGCTATTCATATCACACCTCGCACAACTCTACCACCAGCATAACGCAGTTCATATCACATCTCGCAATTAACGGTAACACCAGCACAACGTTAACGCCCAGCATAACGCAGTTCATATCACACCTCGCACAACGCTAACACCAGCACAACGCTAACGCCCAGCATAACGCAGTTCATATCACACCTCGCACAACGCTAACACCAGCACAACGCTAACTCCCAGCATAACGCTGTTCCTATCACAACCCGCACAACGCTAACTCCCAGCATAACGCTGTTCCTATCATAACCCGCGAAACGCTAACAGCAGCACAACGCTAACGCCCAGCATAACGCAGTTCATATCACACCTCGCACAACGCAGTTCATATCACAACATGCTATATTACAACGCTAACGCTCACGGTCTAGCAAGGTAACGCAACCACCAAACACAAACAACGTTTGTCCAGCGTGTGCTCCTCAAACACAATCGCTGAGCGCCATGCAAACACAACAATCGACTGGCCGGTCAAACAATCATGGACTGGTAAACACGCGCAATCATTTGCTAAATCGCGGCCATTGCATGCCAGTTGATTTTACGCTCGAAGCTCAACGAAAATTCGGAGTTGTTTAATATTTTATTCACGAAATAATCAATGTTTTTTAATCAAGAAGAGACTTCTTTTTCATCCTAAGTGATATTAAATTAATGAAGTCGTCTATTAAATGAAGTGTTTTGTCTAACTTATTATCCTGGAGTATTATTTGTCAGTGGAAAACCTAAAGTTTTCAATATTTTGCGCAAAGAAAAATGAGGATAAATCCATGTTTTTCTTTGCGTGAATTTACGTGAAAGTTACGTGTTTCTTTCGTAATAAAAATCATATTTATTGTTTAGATGGGTGGAATTTTTACATTGAAATACTAATATTTCAGGATTATTTTCATTCCTGCAAATCTTTATTAATGAATAGGACGTAATAAATAAAAGCAACTTTTAATTTAGAGTCATTTCCAGACGGCAAAAGATGACAGCACCAAAACCACCACACCACCACCACCACCCTGTCTCTTATACACATCTAGATGTGTATAAGAGACAGGGAATAAGGCGGCCGTAATATTACGCGGTCATAAGGCGGTCGTAATGTTACACGTTCATAAGGCGGTCGTAATGTTACACGGTCATAAGGCGGTCGTAATGTTACACGTTCATAAGGCGGTCGTAATGTTACACGTTCATAAGGCGGTCGTAATGTTA